GAACCATGAAGCCCTTTTTTGGACAGCAACTCCCAGTATGCCTCACCATTAATTATACTGTCTACAGCTGCTGGGAGTTGTAGTCCAACAACATTTGGAGGGCTACTTGCTTCCCACTCCAGATTACTGATGGCTTAAGATACCCCTTGACAGAATTAAACTGGAGGCATGTCACAACCTTGCATTGGGAAAAGGCTCATTTTACAGTCTGCAACACTGACTCTTGGTGGGGACTCCTCCTGTTTTATATACATCTGGCCCTCTTTATCCATGGATGCAACTCAACTATCCGTGGTTTGAAAATATTATTTAAAAAATAAATTCCAGAAAGCAAACTCTGATTTTGCCATTTTATATGTTGGAATATCAATACCATGCCATTGTATTTAATGGGATGTGGGTATCCATGGAGTTCGGTATCAGTGAAGAGTCTTGGAACCAAGGGCCCACTGTATGTATGTGTTCCCCTTCTGAAAGTTGGCAGCACCTTGGATTGGACTGCAGGTCTGAAACACAGTGTTGTATATACTTTCCTAGGTGCATTTAAAAACACACACATACCTCCCTTCAGGTAGAAAGTTAGCACCTTTCCTTCTGTTCTCTACTTGCAAGAATTTATTTTTATTTGGGGGAGTAATGAAAAATAGCAGACCACACACACACCTGCAGTCTGAAAAGCAAAGATTGCAAACACATTCCTGTTGTGAATCATTTAAAAGTACAGTGGATAGTTGTTTGTGGCCTACGTTTCATGTAAGTTCGAGGAGGTCTCATCACCACCACTATTACTCCATTTTATTCTCACAACAGCCTAGGACGTACTGTATCACAATACTCAGAAACATTTCAGTATACTTAGGTTATGCGCTAGTTGTGTGCCAGTCTGAGACTGGTTATGACACACAAAGGTAGGCACATACAGGTTAAGGTCTAGGCGCCAAAGAGATGCATTGGCTCTATAGTTGCCAGAGTGAAAACTGGAGAAGGCTCCTGTACCTTCAATGGTTGTGTAGAAGAGGGAATTTAAGAAGGTGTTGCTTATCATACAACTGGGTAACAAGCCACACCTGCCGAAATTTCCTCTTCTACACAACCATTAAGAGCCAGCGTGGTGTAGTAGTTTGAGTGTGGGACTATGACTCCGGAGAATAGGGTTCGATTCCCAGCTCAGCTGTGTAAAGCCCATTGGGTGACCCTGGGCATGTCGCACACTCTCAGTCTCAAAGGATGGCAATGGCAAAGCAAACCCCCTCTGAAGAAACTTGCCAGGAAAATACCATGATGGGTTCACCTTAGAGTTG